TGCTAATTAACTAAAATGTTTTAATTAACTATTTACTCTTTCACTTGAGGGCATATAATGCATTTAGAGGATTGAAGATCGGCCACAGTATGGTCTAGCCGTGTCGTCAAATATAGAGAAAAAATTCCTAGCAGGCGCTACGGGGTCGAGAAATGTCACTTTGGTAAATGGCGTCAAACCGAAACTAAACAGGAAAGAGTGCCGGTAAAGTTATCGCTCCGCCCATCCGGGCATGCGATTCGTCATTATCACGGCCGGTTCCACTTGCTTAGGCGAGCCGGCCGCGAATCGCATGCCCGGAAGGGCGGAACGATAACTTTACCGGCGATAACTTGCAGCTCAATTTAGCGAGGAAAGTTTTTCGCTAAATTTAGCGAGAATTTTTTTTTTTTTTGCTAAAATTAGCGGGAAAATTTTCCCGCTAAATTTAGTGAAAAATTTCCCCGCTAAATTTAGTGGGAAACACTCACCACAAAATTTAGCGGAAAATTTTCCCCTCAATAGCAGGCGAGCAGGAGAGGAGGAGGGGCATATCCTCCTCTCCGTACCTTCCCCTCCTCCTCCTCAAAAGCTGCGCTCTAATTCGGCGTTACAGGGAGTTGTAAACATCTTTCATTTTTTCATGCGTTTGCGTCTTCTTTTTGTACCGTTTCCTTGCAAGGTTGGTGATAAACTTCTTTTTTTTTTTAGTGCGCAGCTCTTAGGCGCCCGTTTCCGGCTTGAGCGGCGTCGGTGTCGCCGTCGCCGTTCGCGTAACCGTGCGGTGCATTATGGGTAAATTTCCCCGATAAATTTAGCGAAAAAAATTCCCCGCTATGTTTAGGAAAAAAAAAAATCCCCGCCAAACATGATCTACCGAAAAAAATTCCCCGCTAAATTTAGCGGAACATTTTTCCGCTAAATTTAGCGGAACATTTCCCCACTAAATTTAGTGGGAAATTTTCGCCGCTATATTTAGCGGGGAATTTTTTGAGCGGGAAAATTTTTCCGCTCAATTTAGCGGGGAAAGTTTTCCGCTAAATTTACCGGGAATTTTTTTTGTTAAATTTAGCGGGAAAATTTAGTGAAAATTTTCCCCGCTAAATTTAGTGGGAAACACTCACCACAAAATTTAGCGGAAAATTTTCCCCTAAATAGCAGGAGAGGAGGAAGGGCATTGCCCCCTCTCCGTACCTTCCCCTCCTCCACCTCAAGAGCTGCACTCTTAATTCGGCGTTACAGGGAGTTGCAAACGTCTTTCATTTTTTTTTATGCGTTTGCGTCTTCTTTTTGTACCGTTTCCTTGCAAGCTTGGTGATAAACTTGTTTTTTTTTTAGTCGGCAGCTCTTAGGCGCCCGTTCCTGGTTTAAGCGGCGTCGGCGTTGCCGTCGCCGTTCGCGTAATCGCGCGGTGCATTATGGGTAAATAAATTCCCCGCTATATTTAGCAAAAAAAAATTCCCCGCCAAACTTAACGAAAAAAATTCCCCGCCAAATCAACCGAAAAAAAAATTCCCGCTAAATTTAGCGGGGAATTTTTGGAGCGGGAAAATCTTTTCGCTTAATTTAGCGAGGAAAGTTTTCCGCTAAATTTAGCGGGGAACTTTTTCCGCTAAATTTATCGGGAATTTGTTTTGCTAAATTTAGCGGGAAACTTTTCCCGCTAAATTTAGTGAAAAAATTTCCCGCTAAATTTAGTGGGAAACACTCACCACAAAATTTAGCGGAAAATGTTCCCCTAAATAGGAGAGGAGGAAGGGCATTGCCCCCTCTCCGCACCTTCCCCTCCTCCTCCTCAAGAGCTGCGCTCTAATTGGGCGTTACAGGGAGCTGTAAACGTCTTTCATTTTTTTATGCATTTGCGTCTTCTTTTTGTACCGTCTCCTTGCAAGCTTGGTGATAAACTTCTTTTTTTTTTAGTGCGCAGCTCTTAGGCGCTCGTTTCTGGTTTGAGTGGCGTCGGCGTTGCCGCCGCCGTTCGCGTAACCGCGCGGTGCATTATGGGTAAATTTCCCCGATAAATTTAGCGGAAAAAATTCCCCGCTATATTAGCAAAAAAAAAAAAATTCCCCGCCAAACTTAGCAAAAAAAATTCCCCGCCAAATCTGCCGAAAAAAATTCCCCGCTAAATTTAGCGGAACATTTCCCTGCTAAATTTAGCGGGAAAATTTCCCCGCTAAATTTAGTGGGAAACACGAACCACAAAATTTAGCGGAAAATTTTCCCCTAAATAGCAGGCGAGCAGGAGAGAAGGCGCATAGCCTCCTCCCCGTACCTTCCCCTCCTCCTTCCAAGAGGTGCGCTCTAATTCATCGTTACAGGGGATTGTAAACGTCTTTCATAATTTTTTTTCATTTGCTTCATAGATGATTGGATTGACTTACAACGTGTAAGGGTAATTTTTTTTCTGCGTTATTTTATTGCTCAGTGTCACTTTCTATACAGTGTTTGTAAGCCAAAAAGAAAGTTAATGTATATTGTTACGTCGCTTCAGGGGTGGCTGTTTGGTTTTGAATTCCGTGGTTCCGTATTTTTTATAGCGTTGTTTTTATTATTACTGATAAACATTTCGATGTCTGGTTTCATTCGAATTATGTTAATGTTTCCGTGTTTATCATTCGCGTAAGGTTGCTGAAAAATGTGACCGGGGAGGGGGTGCGTAACGATTGTCGCCAAGTCAGTCGTGTCACTGCCGTTTGTGACGCAAAGAAAGTACTCGTCAGTTGTCAGAATAAAAATTCTAACTTCTTTGTCGTCTACCTGGTTCACTTCGAGAGCCTACCCTCGACGTTGTTTCTGATGCGCTTCCGAATCTTGCTGTGGACTCGACACGAGCAGTTTGCCTAGTTTCGCTCTGCTCGATTGGCTACGTCCGGTCGTAACGTAGGCTGCGGTCGGACTGAGTGTCAAACTGTGTGTGGGAAATCCAAAACAACAAAGTGAATCGTCGTGGTTACATTGTCACCCCTCTCTTAAAATTTCATTACGGCTATAATGACGTCGGAATAACCGACGAGCTAAGTGTAATTCGTCGTTTTTACTACAAAATGAGCACAATGTCGTAAACGCGTTATTTGACCGATTTTATAACATCGTTAAAAACTACATCGCTCTACATGTTCCCACTGCAGTGCTTATAAAAAAAATAAAGCTCGACTCTTAAGATATATTGTAGATATCGCGTCGTGTTAAAAGACGCCGAAAGTCGAAGGACCCAGCAAATGCTGCCGACTGAATCGAATTCGACCGCTTGAAACACCTGCGCACGCAGGCCCCGAATGAAATGTATTTTTGACGGTATTTGGACGTGAGTTCCATGAGCTTAAAATGAGTTGGCAGTTCGTTTTCTCTCCCAAAAGTTGAGACAGGTAACTTTGCGATAGCCATGCACCCACCAGTGATTCTCTAGACAAGCGGGCACACCCCCAGCGGGCTCCCGCAAACAGTGGAATCTCTGATAGTTCAGATACGCTTTCCGGTGTTTGCAGCCCGCTCTTAGACCTTGAGTCCAAGAAGAGTGGCGACCCTGGTGACTCAAACACATTTCTTACACGTTTATCTTGGTGGTGAGACCGATACCCGATCATTGTACAGGTATTTCGGAAATCAATGGGGAGTGGCCTCGTTCCTTCAGTACGATGCCACTAACGTAGTGGTTGCTGACGTAATAGGGCCAATATTTAAAACTGGAGATAGACAAACAATTAGTAACTATCGGCCAATATATCTGACGTCATCCTTCTGCAAGCTGCTGAAGCAAGTTATTTAACAACACTAGCAGATACCCTAAAGGTGACGATATCCTGACTAATCTCCAGCTTATAACTTCCGAAAACAAATTGCAATGACGTCCCGACTCTTCACTTTTTCCCGTGACACTGCCGAGGTTCAAGGTCAAAAAGGGTAAACAGACGTAATATGCTCTTAAAATGCGTTTGTTAAGATGTGCCACAGTAGGCTTTTGTATAAAGTGAACACTGCACTAAAAAACTGATAACATTAACTGGATTGCAAACTACATTTCACACTATGCTCCGTGTGTAGGTGAACATGACACAGTCAACGCCTTCTTCCTCATTTAAGCGTACGGTGCATACAAGGATCTCTTGCGCTCTAAAATGAGCCGGACAAATCGACGCCTGAACCTAGAAAGCTCAGACATTCACGAACAGCGCGAGAGAGCTCGCTTTCGATGATTTTCCATGTCGGACTAACAGGGTTCCTGTAAATTATGTTCGCTTTGTATTATGTACTTTCTATGTTCCGTTATAGGTTCCGTTCAATCTGAATTAGTTTGCTCATTTGTTTTAATTTAAGCGTACGAGTATATTTCGAAGCGTTTCTTTCGTTGCTGAACAGTTGGAAGACGCAAGATTCACCTTGACCCAACATTTATGGTTGATGCTGTAACTATGCTTTGCTTGCCATACCTTTTATAACGTTATGAAAGCTACCGCATTACGAAATAAATTAATACCGTAAACGACTAAATTTTCGCGAAGACCTAATTTTCGCGAATTTCACGAATCACCTACCATTCGTGAAGAAAAATCCGTACCGCGAACAATTCGGGCAATATGTGAACGCTACGGAAGCTACACTCGATTCGCGAAAATTAGAACCCGCGAATAATTTCAAATTTTCAGCTTTGGCCCTATTCGCGAAAATTGGAGCCCGCGAAAATTAAGTCGTTTACAGTATATGAATAGTAATCACGGCAATGGATATCGTGTACAGTGTGTCTCACCAACAACCGATAATACTTTCTAAAAAAAGACACCTGGAATAGAGAATTGATTCCTACAGGATAACGCTGTCGACCGCGGCGGACGCCAGATAGGGTAAACTGATAACTAAAAATTAATTGCCTAAAACATACTAATATTACTTCTTTAATATTTAGTTAAGGTGACACATTTTAATTAGACGTCTGTTACCCGTCGTCGAAATATGCCACAGGTGTTGTTAGTATTCAGAGAAGTAAATTTCGCTCTAATTGCAAGCACACTTTGAGCACTTACCTTAACGGAAGATTCATGTTCCTGAATCACCTGAAAGAAAAGAAAAACAAACGATGAATGAGATGGGGACTTCGCTTCATTCGAAATACACATTCGGGATCCCCAAAAAGCTACGTGAAATACGCTGCTCAATGTAATGGTGTCTGTATCCCAAACAACCAGCAGTATCGACGGTATGCGCCGAGAAACCGAGGGAAAGGAGAAGACGAGAGCGCGCACGGACGTCAGAACGCTGAGCTACGGTCGGAACTATTAGTGGGTACTCATAAAGCTACAGTTGCCTTTGTCTCTCTCCTGTCATAGCCTCCTATATACTGACAAAGCCTGGCAGATCACCACGAGAAGCGGCCGCCAAAATGAAAAAGGTGCAGCGGCAGACAATGGATGAGAGGAGAGCCACGTGACTGGCGCCCCGATGCGGCGAGGCGCCGAAACGCACTTCTGCCGAGCGAACAACTGTGTTCCGGGTCCTCGCCGCTACAAAAGCTGTGCGCTGACGTCCAGGTTGCCCGAGAAATGGCTCTTTGATGCTCTGTGCTACCAGATCCTCGCGCTGCAAATCTGCGGCCGGGCACTCGATATGTCTCCGCCGTCGAACTGCCGGGCTTTGTGAGTATAGAAAAGGCTGTGCTCGTGCACTCGTCGAACGCGTTCGAATGCGAGAGCCAAACGACAGACGCCAGCGTTCCGCGTTCTAATGTGTTCGACGAGCGCAGTGGAGACAAAGGCAGCTTTAGGTCTACCCACCAGTCATGCCAACCAGAGCTCGGCGTTAACGCTGTCGTCTCTCCCGTAGTATCTCGGCGCATAAGGCCTGGGGGCATTCGAACGTCACGCTGTTTCAGCAAGATCCGTATATCCAGAGGATGTTGGGAAATGTGCCGAGTTTTCGAATGTCGTTTGTACGTTTAATGTAGTAAAACATGCTAAAAATTTCTGAATTGCGAGTGTTTCGCGATTGCGAAAATTATCGGGAAGTTAGGGCATCTTGCAGACCAAGAAAAGGACGCTGCTTTGGTTTAAACGTTAATCGAATATGAAAATTAATTGATTATTGGTTATTTCAGTTACTCATTCCTCTTCAGACAAAAAGGCAAAAACTTGAAGGATGCTTAAGCTTCCTTCGCCTTTAAAGGGCCTCTGAAAAGAAAAAAATAATTTAAACAGTCTGTTTGGGACACGCGGGTCAAAAAAATTAATTTTACGCGAAAAAAGAAATAGAGAGATATTGATGGCGAGAGATATGTTTAAAATTCCGCGCGCGAAGTTCACGACGTCACTGGTCATTCCGGAATGACCATCTCGGTCGTGAAGGTGAAGCCCCTCCACCTCTCCTCCACGCGCCCGAAATGCCGAGGGAGAAAACAAGTGAAAAGGAGGTGACTGCCGACCAAATCGCGTCTCGCGCCGTCAATAATTCTCCAAACAATTTTTTTTTTTTTGAGCGTAAAATTTATTTGTGACACGCGTATCCCAACCAAATTGTTAAAAAAAAAAAAAAAAACTTTTTTTTTTCTTTTTTTCTAAGGGTTCTTTAAGAATGGAACGCGAGAGCGTTATCGGGCCCCGTTCGCATCGCCATATCGACGAATCAGGATTTGCACGTCACGCCACCAATGCCGGCTTTTCTGCGACACAAGCTCCTACACTCTACCGCGTTAAAATGTTCGCACCACGCGCCACTATCTTTTTTATCGCACGTCAAATGATTCTACAACCACACCTCGACTGCGTAGACACATCGAGTGGTTGCTGCAAAACGTTCCCAGCAGCAAAAACGAGCCACAGCAGATATATTTCAAGGGGAAAGCCTTATATGTTTAATCATTCAGTAGACCTTGAAAGTCCTTGAGCCAAAACACGGCAGCGACACGAAAAGTACCAAAACGAAAGGTACCACTGAAACGGCGCCCAAAGTGCGTCTTCAGAGGGCGCGCTGTCTTCGGAGGTTCGCTATCACGTTTACATCGCTGTTTGGGCTTTCGCCTTCAAGTCGTCTGAGGGATAAGATAAAAGACCCTGTGAATTTTTTTAAATTTATTTATTTATTCTGAACACACTGCTAGCTTATGCTTCCGAAAGGACTTCTCAAGGCTGCCCAAACTGGTGTCCAAGCCATCCTTTTTGCTTCATATTTACGACTCGAGTGAGTCGACAAGGTCGTCCCCATCATTTTCTAGTCTTATGGGGTGTCGCCAACGATAGCATACCTAGCAGGCTTAGTACCGAGAGCTTTCCTGAACATCGCTCAAAGGTTCTGTGTAAAATCCACGATTTGCACAGAAATAAGTTCGGTACAGTGCTGGTCATTGCGAATGAGTCTATTTATCGGAGGCCGTTGCGCTTGGGAAAGGTTTCAAATAGATTTGGACCTTTCAAACTAGTGAAAATAAACAGACAGTTCCAAGTAGATACTCGACAGGCCTGGAGAAAAAAACAGTCAATAAGCAACCTTTAGGAAGATCTGGAGCGCGTGATTCGTATTTCTGGATCATGGAAATGCATCCGACTTCGACGCAACCCCGAGAATTTCCATTTCTTATCCGCAATATTTCCTCCACCAACCTTCCGCCTGTACCACAAACAGGAACTTTTGCGCGCCACCAGGTTCACTCCGCGCGTCTGTGTTTCTCAAATTGACCGATTTAGAAGTTTTCGATGATTCTCACCGAGTTTCTAATCGAAGGCATATATTTATTTTTCTACCGAGAGAAAAACGGGGAAATTAAACTTATTTACACCCCGCAGTTACAAGTCAGTTTCCCGCTGTTTGTGTCTGTGTGTTTTTTAATTATGTTTTGTTTATGCCCGGCCTTCGATCGAGCTGGATGCACAAAACGGAGTGGGGACACCGTACGTCCTATGTCCCATGTATCAGTGGAGTCGTGTACCAGATTCCGTATTGAACGGTGTTCGTAGGGCATCAACGGTGTTTGTAGGGTGCGTCAACGTGAGAGGTATGGAACTTGAAAGGGAAGACGCCGAAGTGCCGTGTGCGATATATGAAGACGTGGCGCACTGCTTGTAGAAATGCGCTGCGTGTAGGAATGCTTTTGCATTCCTACACGTAAGCCGTCTCAAATGTATCTGCCGAATGTTTTGGGTCGCGGCGCGCGGCAATGAGCAGACAATGAATGGCTACGTGTTTTGTTGAACCGTTCTGTCAATCTCAGAGGGGGCTAGCAGCAAGGGAAGTCATACACTGCGACAATCACCTGTTTCGCTCCTTTCCCTCAGTGCTACTCTCCTTGTGCCTCACTCGTAATATGCTGCTAGTGAATGTGCTGTGTGTGTGTTTCGACAGCCGGAAGTTCGTCACCCCCGATGGTCTCAGCTATAGATGAGAGCCAGTGCAGTACAACCGCTAGCCTGGGGTCTTTAACGTGCATCACAAAGTAGTGATACACGACCACACTGCAGGTGCAATGCTCATCCAGATCGAATGCTCATCCAGATCGGTGAGGATTGATCCCTGGGTTCTGCTGCGCGACCTTTCGGTCCATTTATGCAGCTAGTAAAATTGGAACCCAGTATATTTTCGTAGTCCCTTCAACTGCAGAGCATGCGCGAACGGTTCGTAAGTGCTCTTGTAGTGCCAGGTGTAGTCAAGGCAGCCTGCAGTTCGCGCTTATATCATTGGCTCTTGCCGCCAAAGACTACTTCAGTTTTCTTTTTGTGAAAAAGAAAAACGGCATACGCCAGTTCTTCGTTAGGAAAAAATGCCTCGTTTTTGGTAAAACGGCAATAACTAGGTCAGCAATTTAGAACTGCGCAGAGCCGAACTAAGACAATAAGATTCGACCTTCTTACCAAGGAGAAACGACTTTAGCCGTTCAGCAGATGCGAAATACATCAACGAAAGGTATTATAGCACGCGATGATGCAACGGTATCTGCATTCTCAACTATTGTACGTTGTTAAGAGTGCGCAAACGGGGAAAACATCCCAAGTCTCAAGGCATTTTGATCAGGTAATAACGTCTAAACCAGGAAGCCCTCATAAAAGCATTTGGCCTTTTTGCGTTTGTCTTGCATTCAAATCATTTTTCTCCTTGGAATCTGTCTGTCACACCGCACAACTCAAGTAACTGTGTTTTTTTAAATGTGTATAGTCGCCATTTGGAATCTGAAACTATACACTGACAAGATAAAAGTATGAAAGATATACTACGGCTGATAGTAAGCCAAAAACTGTCCCGGCATGGATGAGCTGTTTGAAGCTACCTAAAGTTGCCCCCAGCTACAATGAACTACTTTGCCATTATTGATAAACGCAACTAAAAGTTAAGATTACGGAAGGAAAAGAAGGGTCGCTTACGAAGAGCACGCACGCACACACACACACACACACACACACACACACACACACACACACACACGCGCGCGCGCGCGCGCGCGCGCGCGCACACACGCACACACATACACACCGTCTCTGAGACGGTCAAAAATTTGGGAGGTTTTACGTGCCAAACCAACGACGGGCATCTGGCACGCCCCAGCGGAGGACTGAGGATTAATTTCGACCACCTGGGGATCTTTTGACGTGCAACCGAAAGCTCGGTTACACGGCGCCTTCTCCGCAATAAGCCTCCGTCATATTGCGGTCTCTGAGACGGTGTGCGTGTGTGTGTGTGTGTCATTTATGCTACATTTAAGATTCACAAACTCGCATCTGAGCTCGCTCCTTTTTCGCTATTGGTAGTGTAAAAAATTTCAATTACTAAATTAGTAAGTCCAGGTTTTTAAAATGCAACTGCAAACTAGTAAATATTTGAGCGGTCACATTTAGTATATAAAGAAGCTATATATGGTTTTATTTCAATGGTCCGATTTTCTTTAAATGTGATTTTACTGCCAAAAACCCTGCGTATTTATTTATCCTCCTAACTATTTCCACCTTTTTTTCAGTGTTAATTTATTACAATTATATTTTTTATCAGAGCGCCGGCGATATGCTATCCTTAGGTGTGGAACAAAGCAAGCGCACAAAGCTATAGGATTGCAAGTCGACTTTACACGTTACGCGTTATG